CTGTGATTTTTATTCAGGAGTAATTTAATTATATTAATTATCATAAAATTATTTGTGATCGACTTTTTTTGTACATAATTTTTCTAATTATTAAATGTTTGGTTTAACTCTATTTAGAATATTTTGTTGTATACCTATATTATAATTTTTCTAATATGACTATTTATTTCAGTTTGATATGATAATTAAGTCTGCTATAATAATTAGTCTTATGCAATAATGATGTAACCACTTAATCAACTGAAAAATCACATTTTTGTTCTCACAGATGTTATTGTTAATAAAATATTTGCAGTTAACTTTTTTTGTGCATATGTTTCTATTTTGATTTACTCTATTTAGAATATTTTCATATGTATATAAATATTTTATATTTTTCTTATTATTAAAAAAAAAGTTCAGTTGATATAATGATTAAAAAAATATAATATAAATATACAAAAAAAAAAATTCCAAACAGAGTTAAATCAAACTAGAATAAAAAAATGTCAATTTTATAACAATAAAATCTGTGGGAAAAAAAGAGCAGTCAAATTTTCAAAATTTTCAGACACATCAGACTAATGATACTAATGATTGGTTATTAAATCTAATTATTAAAAAAAAATCAGTCACAAAAAAAGTCAGCTGCAAATAATTTATAACAATAATATCTGTGGCAAAAGGAAGTCAAATGTTCAAAATTTTTCAGTTGATTATTATATTATTATGCATATTTATTTAATATACTGTCACACTTGTGCAGAGTATTTTGAATAATTTCTCAAATCAGTCTCAAAATTTGCATCACACAAATATAATAATGCACTCTATCTGCCAGTAGGTCACAGCTATACATGTTCCCAAAATTGATTTTGGATTTTTGAGGTATTTCAACTTTTTGAGATTTATGCAGAATCTATTCTATATATGGAAGTAAAAAAAGTTCCAGTTATGTGTATACTTAATCAAAGAATAAATCTGGTTGGTCAAAAAATTTCAGGTTTTAAGTAAAATAATTTTGTCTTCTATGAAAAACTATTTTGACTTTTTCCCCCAAAATTGCAATTTCAGGGTCCCAAAATAATTTTGTGTGCAAGTATAGTCTTGAAACAGATAATAAATATAATAAATAATAATAATAGTCAAATAATAATCAATTAATCATGAAGGCACAGTGAGTAAGGTGGAGTAAAAACAATTAACACAGTATCAAACAATATTTAATAATATTCCATAACATTACAACACAAGATATAAGTTTATTAAAATTTACAGTAAAATATAAAGTTTTTAAAAGTAAAGTATAATACAGTGACAGAAATATTATCTTGTGTTAGGATGTCTATTTTACCATTCCTGAAGTAAGTTTACTTTTCTATTTAATAATAATTAAGATATTTCAAATTATTCTGTAATATTAAGTATTATTTTATTAACTAATTTATGATTAGCTAATTACTTCTGAAACTTACACCCGACAACAGTTGCATTTATACTTTCTTTTTTGTTTACACTTCATCCTTCATATTTGTACTTTATCTTTCATCCTTTGTGCATCATCTTTCATCCTTCATCCTTCATCTTTGTACTTCATCCTTCATCCTTGTATGGTCATCTCACCTGGGATGACAATTACCTGAATTTCATCTAGTGCCACAAATTATCATCCCCTGTGACATTTCACCTGATTGCCAATTTGTATCTCCACAATACTTAGAAAGATGTTCTATACATATATATTAGATTTTTTCTAATTATTAAAAAAAAATATGTTGTTATAATAAAAATCAACTGAAAAATTTGAACAATTGACTCACACAGTTATGATTGTTATAAAATTATTCATTTTTGACTTTTTTTTGGTGCATATTTTGCTAACTATATTTAGAATATTTTTTTTGTATATCTATATTTTAATTAATAAAAAAAAGCATATGTAAAACTCAGTTTGAAATAATAATCACTAATAATTAGTCTGATGTAATCAACTGACATTTGACTCATCAAATTAATATTTAAATGCACTTTTTTCTACAGATTTTTTCAAATTTTCAAATTTTCAAAATTATAAAAATGACCTTTACAATGAAAGCAAAAAATTTTATCATGGATTTTATAACAAAAGCGAAAAATTGTATTACGAAGGAGAAGGAAGAGAAAAAGGAAAAGTTGAAAGTAAAGGAAGTTTTTAAAGAAGCTGAGGTAATTATTTATATAAATCTTCAAAAATATCATTATTTATGGTAATTTTATTAATAAGTTTCTTGATTTATTGCTTAATGTTTTAATTGGAGAAGGAGAAGAATAAGAAAGAAAAGAAAGAAAATAAGGGGAGAAAGGTGGAAAAGTTGTGGTTTATGAAAAAGAAAGTAATAGTTTATAAACAAGAAGGTGAAGAAAGTCATTTAAAGTTGAGGGGGAGAGTAGTGGCAACGTGGAATTTAAAACAAGAAGAGTTTTTTTTAAATTAGAAATAATGGAAGGCGTGTACAAAATTTCAATTAAAGTTATTTATAATTACGAAAAACTAATTAAAAAATGACTGGCAAATTTCCAATAGATAATTATGAAGTATTTCAAATTAGTGAGAGAAAATATTTGAATATTCAAGATTAGTTTTTCAAATATATTTAAATAAAAGTATATTTATTGTAAAATTATACTAGCCTTATTAAACTTTAATTATTTATGCTATGATACTAAAGCTTTATTCAAAGTTCTCCATTACATCATGATTTTTGCATTGAATAACTTTTACAAATGTTGATTTTTCTTATTTGATTGCAATAAATTAAAGAAATTCTTGACAAAAATTAGCTGACAAATAATTTGATCAATTTAAGAAATTATGGAACACCCGTAATTGTAGTTTGTGTGAACGTAATCAAGATTGATATTTTTTTAGAAGCTTTTATAAACTATATAAAAATTTTATTTATTTTCTGAGTGAAGACTTTCATTTTTAACATTTAACAGGGATTTGATCTTTGTGAGCTTAGTAATCAGTATCAGAATCTAAGTTATTACCCATAAATAAAATAAAATAAAAATATAACAAAAAAAATATACAAAAGAAATAAGCTAAAAAATCACAAAAATCTACTGAAGAAATTGAATGTAATACTGTATATGCCCTTTCATGAAAAAAAGGTTTTAGACAAAAAAAAAATAATAATTTATTCATTTTCCAAATCTCACAGTACAGACCTTAAATATAAAACCTTCTATATAAATATTTATCTGATGTTGTGACTTAATTATGAGAAATTCATACTTTCAACACTTAAAAAAATTCTTAATTTATTTATTTTTTTATATAAAAGATATGATGAAATAATTATTCTGTAACTAAAACTGTTCTTGCTGGTAAAATAATTATTTCTACTGGTCATTTAGAAGATAACAAACGAAAACTTTATATCATAACATACCAGCAGTGTTGTATACCTCGTGCCGCAGGGGATAGTGTTATGGTTTTTCAGGGTAGTGTATTTATACCATATGTCACATCCTTTTAATATCAATTTTTATCAGACATTCTGGGTACTTGGATATTTGTCACAACATAATATTTGTCACAACATAATATTTGTAACGTTAACTTTCATGTGAATAATTTAAATCATCTGGCCACCATGTGCCTAATTTTTATAGATCATGTATTTTATTTTTATTGGTTGGTGTTGGGTGTCGATAATAAATGTTGATTGATTTCATCCCGAAGTAGTTTATCATTAATCTTTTGTAAGGCTTAATTAAATTTATGAAATATCAGCTGAACGATGAAGTAGCGAATATATGAGAGGACATTGTTGCAATGTAGTTTTTTAATGTAAAAAAATTTTCCTGGGTAATTCATCAAAGTTAGTAGGAGGAACAGGATACTTGACACAATATTATTACAGAATTTTTCTAATTTTTTGAAGTTTTTTTTACTAAAAATAATATACAAATAAGAGAAAAATGTATTTTAACCAGGAAGCTTTAGAATTCTCCAAATTAACAATCTTACCATAAATATATCTAAATAAAAATAAATAAAAAATTAATAAATAAATATATTAAAATAATTATAAATGAAAAGGCAAAATATTTTATTATTGATAATAACTTACTTGAGAATAATTTAAAAAACTTAGGGCCGAAATACTTGACTCGGTAATTTTTTTAATATTAATTTACCTGGGTGAATATTTTTTATCTCTCTAAGAAAGTATTACGACCAATATTTTATATGTCCAAATGTGCTGTGAAAGATTTTCCTTATTTTCAACCTCAATGATAATGATTCAATTAATTGAGAAATGTTATTAAATGAAGAATTAGATTAAGATAAATTATATATTCAATAGTAGATTAGATCATCTGATCTGAGTAGTGGTATCGAGCTTGATCCATGATAGTCCGTATAGTGTCGTCGATATAAGTAAAAGAATGTTGAAATTTTTTAATTCTTTTCATTGATAAATAAATCAATTTTCATCATTTAAAAATATATTTATGATAAATGTTTTTTTATAATTCATTTTATAATATTGTATGATTTTTTATAATATAATATGATAAAAATGAGAGCAAAAAGTAACATAAAATAACAAGTGATACAGTATGAGTGTATAAAGTGATATAAAAGTTTGTAAATATGAAATAATGAAATGTAACTAATATCAAAAACAACCTGCAAAAATCTTAAGAATGAGGTCGTGGAATTTGAATATCATATATATTTACTTTGACAATACATAGTGGAATATATATATATTGAGTTTTACTAATTGAGCACAAAAATGAATAAATTTAATTGGTTTTTCGTTTTTTTCCTCCTCCAGAACTTGATGTGTTTTTTCTTTCACCAAAATCGTATTATTATTATTATTGTTGTTATTAAGATCAGTGCGGCCATATTTGGTAGCAGAATTTAAAGAATAGATAGAACTTGAAGAATAGAGCTTGTAATATGGAGATAATTTCATGAAGCAGTATTAGTATGGACTTTTTTGCTGTAGCTGCACCATTAATCAAGTAGAATTTGTAACCATATTAGAAGTTTTAGTTGCACGAATGGAATCTGTAGTACCGTTATTTCGAGCAGAATTTGGTGGCTGTAGCAGAAGTTTTAGCCGTGCGAATGGAATTTATGGCAGCAGCTGCAGCAATGTCACGGACAAATTTTGTTACATAACTATTAGATACATTTCGGAACGGAAGATTATTGGACGACTAATAACCAATCGGCTTCAAAAATTCTGAAATCCTAACAATTGAGATCCTTACAGACCTCAACATCTAGAATAAGACATATTAACATAGATATAACACTATATAATACATATGTAATTGATTATATATGCAAAAAATACAAAATTTAACAAACCTCTCGAGCTGCCTTAAGTGAATTTTCATCTTTACAAAATTTGTTGATGTTATTTATATCTCTGATACAGCCCATGAAAAATAATAATTAACATTATTAATAACAGTAATTTATTTAATTCATAACCATGTCATGTTATTCTGTTTGTTATCAATCTAATCTAACTGGTATAAAAATACAATCTAATTTTGTGTAACCATTAAAGGATTTGTGGTATTCATCATCCATCAATCGGAGCAAATATTATCGAAACATATTTAAATGATAGTAGATGCTTAATTGCTAATGATGATGTTAAAAATCTTAACGATAGTAATTACATTAATGATGATTGCTAAATAATGTTAGTGATGCTAATGTTACCATTATATTAATTATTCTAATCTTGCCATGACTCCAGAGATAAAATTATTATTAAATATTGCTGAGAATTAAATCCCAACAAATGTTTTTAAATTCGTATTGACTGTTTCTGAATTTTCATAATAAATTCTTGAGGATATCTAATATCAACTGCAAATTTCGAATAAAAACTAAATGATAAAGCAAAGAATAAGAAATTTGATTTATGTACTACATGACAATTTTAAACATAAAGTTCTTGAAGTGAAACAAATTGTCCATTTGATGACAATTCTCCTCGAATTGATAATTTATCTTAATTTCAGCAGTTGTAATATAGACATGACGTAGTCTAAATCACAGATTATTCTATTATAATAATTAAATTTGAACATGATTTTATATTAAATCGAATCTTTGTCTGATAATTCATTTTGAGTACAATACAAAGATTAAACTCCTGATTTTTAAGTAATTACTGGATCTTATCCATGTACTTTTAAATTTTAATAATTTGGTTTAAGAATTATCTATTATTATTATTTAAATTATTCAACGAATATTTATAATTTGTATAAAATTTTTTTTATAAAGTGAATGAATGAAATATAGTTAGATAGATAATTATGTAATAATAAGAACAATGTTTATATGATACAAATTTAAAAATTACAAATAAGGCTTCTAATAAATTATGATATGTATTTTGTCACATTTTTTTTGATGTAAAAATAAAAAAAAAATTATTACTATCTTTTCTTTCACCAAAATTAAAAATTATTTTTATTTTTACTTGTTTATTTTTTATCATGTGCAGATCAAAATAAAATAAAATAATAATTTTCACATATTTAAACTAAGATGTTTCATGTAAACATGAAATTAAATAAATACCACATGTTTACTGAAATTAAATTTCTCAACACTTAACTCTCTACTTACAGATTAGAAAAATGCCCATGAACAGAAGAACAAGTGATACTAATCAAAGTGGAAGATTGAGATATAATCTCAGATCCACACCTAGATCTAATAATGATTATAATAATACTATCACAAATAATAATAATAATAATATCCCTGCCATTAATAATAATAGCACCTCAACTACTACAGCTACTTCTCTTAGAAGAAGTAGAAGAATGTCAGCACAAACCAATAATAACAACAATAATTCTATCAATACAATGAACACTACAACTGCCCAAAGGAGGAGGGTACAAAATAATAATAACATCAACCATATTACCACCACCACTGCCATTACTACCACTCAAAGTAGAAGAAGGAGAGCACCATTACCAAGGTCACTACAAGCAAATGTCCCTCATCTAACAATTGAGCAGGTGCTTTTGATACAGTGTCCAATTTGTCTAAACAGTCCAAATGACACTGTTACTACTTTATGTGGCCATGTGTACTGTCACAGTTGTATTTCTACTTGGATTAGGGCATGTGGTGAGGGAGCTACTTGTCCACTTTGTAGAGTGGGAATAAATTTGACTGAAATCAGAAGATTCAAATTTATGATGGGAAGACAAACTTAAAGTTTATATCTTGTAATTTGTAATAATCACAATCTTTACTTTTAATTTCATTACTCTTTCTTATTGTTCATATATGTATTTTTTATTCTATTTTTCCAAATTAAAAAAAAAATTTAAAATTAATTATATGCGAAAATGTCATCCATTATATATTTCTTGAAAAAAAATCAGATCATTTTATAAATGTTTTATAAATGTTTTAAAAAAAACCTATAATTAAACAAATAAAGTTCATAACATTCAAGCTAGAAATTTGTTTTAAATACCAAGAGAGGAGCATAAATTTGCATTGCCGAAGTAAAATTAAAAAAAAAAATTTAGATTGTTTTGCAAATCTTAATGATGAGTTCTTAAATGTGGTTAATGATGAATTCTTAAATGTGGTAAAAGATGTCTTGAATTATTATTATGCAATGTTTTGAAATGTATAATTTAGTAATCACTTGAAAACAATGGTTATTCCGTCCGAATTTGTAGAATAGCAAAAGATCCTGAAACTAATACTGTAAATATATGATGGTTTTAGAATATATGTTTGATGGAAATCTTAGGGAGATTATTTAAAAACTCATTTCGATAATATTAATTAGAATAAAAATTTAAAGTAATTTGGAAAAAATATAAAGGTTTTCATGATTTAAATATAGTTTTCATCCTGGAAATATTTTTAGCAAATGATATTAAAAATGAAAATCTATATATTTCGGATTTTGGATAAGTAAAATTGGTGGAAAAAATTTGTAAAATTTCACTTCATGCTCCAAATTAATTACAAGAATAATGAGTGTTGGATGCACGAGTTAATTATTGACCTATTAAAGAGTAGACGAAATACCATTTGAATATGCATATCTAAATAATACTGAAATTACAATTCAAATCGATAATGCAGAAAAAATTTCCAAACTCCTAACAACTGTAAATACAACAAGCAATTTATACTAGTCGACTTAATTAAATTTTATGACATTTATTTATCGACCTTTTTAAAAATTTTATAAAACTTAAGGTTATTTCGCTTTTTTAATTTCGAACGAATAAATATGAAAGAACACATTTAGAGCTAAGTGATTTATTAATGATCATTATTTATCATTATACTAAATTAATAATTTTTTTACAACCTTTTTTTAATTTATTTCAAGTTTAAAACAGAGATGATTATAATTTTTTTATAGGTCGAGATTCAAAAGAGATCGTACAATACAATAACAGAAACATTGTCATATATTTCTAAATTTTATTATAATATTTTAGTTTATTTATTATTATTAGAGAAAAAATATTTATAAGAAATGTATGTTTTGTTCAAAATGAACGAAAATTTAAAATTAAAATAGATTAAATAAATTTCTCTTAAAAATAATAATGATAGAAAATATTCGATAGGTAAATATTAATTAAAACAATAATTCATAAATTATTAAATTGATTGTTTTATTTTAAATTTAGGAATTTAGGAAATAATTGAAATTTTAATGAATTATAAATTCTCCCATTGGGAACAAGATTTACCAATTGAAACAATATTTATTTTTTTTTATTTATTATTTTTTTCGCAATTCACTTTAATTTGTATTTGTTATTTAGCCGGAAAACCAAGTGTAGCTTCAAATAGATGTTAGTATCTGTCAAAGATTGGCAACTTCCTTATTTTTTTTATAAAAATTATTATGTTTATAATAGTTGTTTTTTTGTTCAAGATTTTAATGGAAATATGAAATGAATTAATGAGAAAATGAATTTTCAGCTTTTAAGGAAGACGATTAATCCAAACCAAAGTATTATTCCTAAAATTTAAAAAGTTCCAAAAACGCATTACATGATCCAATACTCATCTAATAATGCCTGAGTATAAAATTTTTATGATTTTAATTTAGACGTTGAGATCTCAAATAATAAAAGTATCAATTTTGGCTTTTTCACCTTCGAGTAAAAAATGAAAGGAATGAATTGATCGCACCTCATCTCATGAATTTCCAGCTTCATGTAGTAACTTGGTACTATACAATAGAACCTTTAAATCATTTAAATATCATATTGCCTTCCGCATTTATATTCGCCTGCATGAATTACTTTACACTTAGTTAATAGCTTTAATAATCTTTGTTAAAGAAATATTAAGAAATGTTCTTTTTGTTTGACTACTGATCTTTTGAGCTTGCAGGTAGAAAGTAATCCTATTATTTTTTTTAAAATTTTATTTGACGAAATGGATGTTGGAGATTATGATAAGAATAAGTTATAGAGTTTATTATTATGAAAATAGAAAAAATTTCTGCAATTTTAGATAAAAATTATAATAATCCTGTTACGTGAAATTTCTCGAGAGTGGATTTGAATTAAAGTCAAATGATTTTCGGGCAAACAAATTTCCACCAAATCAATTGTGATATGAAAATCCTTATTTAATAAAACCTCACAGTCAAAAAAAAAATTATTGACGTAAATAAATAAATAATTACTGTAATCAGATATCTAAAAAAAAACTGAATAAATAAAAATTTAAAAATTCTAACATACCTGATGAATTAGTATATGAATAAAAAAATAATCAATGTGGCTGATTAGTAATCATGGTAAAATGAACAAACAATATTTGAGGAATTACTTGATTAATTGCATCATTTTTCCGCACACAAACAATTTCACAGCAGATCAAAATAAAAAATGACATACGACATCAGGAATTTTATAATTATTCATTCACATTACTATGCTATGTCATTAATGATAGCATAAAGAAATTTAATAATTTATAATTATGCCTCGAATTATTCTTACAATTCATTATCAAACTTCTTAAACTGTATGGCTAATATTTTAACATTCCTCATTTTTTATTTTTTTATTATTCTATTTTATTTTTATTTTTGTATTGATATTTTTCTGGCAATCCGATTAGGGAGGAGCTTCTTCCTCGGCCTTTATGGTGGGATGGGTGTCCCAAGACAACTATAAAATTATAATTAGATATAATTAAAACCAAAATAATCAAAAAGATTATTTCGAAGATTAAATAAATATTTTTTATTATCGAATAAATGTACAGTAATTGATGCCATACGGTTACCTTATAAGCATATGAAAATTAATTTTTCAAGTATATATATTAATATATTGTCACAAATGTGCAGAGTATTTTGAATACTTTCGCCTATCAGTCTCAAAGTTTGTCTTTCACAAACTACTTTTTTAAATACGCTCTATCTGCCAGTAGATCAAGCAAGCCGTCGCTCTAAACTTGCCTATCTCGAAACAGCATCAGGAAATTTTTCGGGGCGTAAATTTCCGTAACACAAACGGGACCCACGGAAATTTACGTCCAAAAATTCAATTTTTTTGACTTTGGTCGCAATTTACGAGACAGGAAGCGA